GTTTAATATTCGCATAGAGAATCTATTTTTCATCACCGGTGACAATTTTGTCCCAAAATGGTTCACTCGCATTACGCGCCAGAAGAAACGAAGCAACGTTTACACGTTGGAAACTATGATCATCGGAGAGTTCGTGAGGCACCCAAACACCTTCTTTAAGGAGTTTTCCCATATTCCTTAGACGTTTACGTATTGTTCCATGAGAGACATGCAATTTCAGGGCCATTTCACGAGTGTGTTGCCTTGGGTTAGACTCGACAAGTGTCTTCAGAGCATCAATATTAATTCCATCATGTCCTCTCAGGGGAGGTTATGTATTTTCAGTTTCCTCCTCTGGGATCTGAACATCCACCCACGTGTTTGTCGTGCGTGGCGACCTGTGAAGGGGATGATAGGATCCTGGTGGTTGAGTTGTGTCTGGGGCACTGCAACACACCACTCTGGCCTTGAATTCCTGTACACCACTGGCCTTGGGGTGCCTCCCCCGGGTCAATCGGCTAGGGTTAACTAAGTACCAGTGTTGGGCGTTTTCAACGGGTGTTGTGGACATCGTGTCTGATACTGGTGTTTGGGTATAGTGTTCACGAAACACACGCCCAGCAGGTTCGACGTCAAAGCCAAAAGGAGTCTTAGATTAAGTTCACTACCAGCATCTCTTCTACCACTAGTTCCAAAACCATATGGGACAAGATTTGGAAAGTCACTGGGAGATATGCTTCCCATCCCATTTCCATCTTGCTCTCCAATGGCCAGAAAGTTGCTGATGTCCAGAGCATTGCAGGTGCTCTCGGCCACAGCTTTTTTCGTGCATCAAGCACTTCTGTTTCTTCCCCTGCCTTTTTGACCATCAATTCTCGGGCAAAGCGATCATCTCTTTCCTTTCGGGCCGATCCGTCTCTACGACTATAATCGCCCCTTTACACTGGTGGAACTCAAACTTGCTCTTCACGAGTCTGGCAATACATCGGTCGGACCTGATGATCTGTATTATGAGATGCTACGCTCTCTCTCTCCTGCCTCTCTTGCTATTTTTTTGGTTCTTTTTAATTGGATCTGGCAAGAGTATGTTTTCCTGATGCTTGACGCCAGGCTATTGTCCTACCTTTTTCTAAACCTGGTACAAATCCCAAGATTCCATCTAATTATCGTCCCATCACTTTAACTAGCTCTTTCTGTAAGGTCTTAGAGAGGATGGTTAATGCTCATCGTGTTTGGTTCCTCGAATCCAACAAGCTCCTCTCTCACACCCAGTGTTGGTTCTATTGACAGCTTCGTGCCAGTTGGCAGTCGACTTGGGATGAGCGACGTCATAACAAGCTTTTCCAGATCAAACCTTCTGTTGCTCTTTCGCCGTCTTACTTCCGTAAGGATCGGAAGGAGAAAATTGTCTTGGCAAGGCTACGCATTGATCACAGTTTTTTAACTCATCGTTTTCTTTTATCTTGTTTTGACCCACCGATGTGTAGCTTTTGTGACACTCAAGTCACAATAGCTCACATTTTACTGTCGTGCCGTCGTTACGACCGTGAGCAGTGTCATCATTTTAGACACGTGTTTTGTAAGGGTTTACCCCTGACGTTGATTGTATTTTCAAATTTTTACGAACAATTGGTCTTTTCAATTATATTTAATTCTTTTATCTGATATTTGGACATATTTTAGTTTTAACTCAATTTATTTCTACATTTTATTACAATATACTTTTTTACCTAAGTTACTGCTCCTGCAAGATATGTCTCAGAAACCATGCTACCCAATAATCAACTATGAGACGATAAACTGAACTCTCTCTGTATCGGGGAACAAATAATTCAACTGTAGCTAAAATAATCTAACCTGGGTTAATACACATGCTCTCAACTACAGCAAAAATTAGTTAGTACCCACCTAGACCAACATGTTAAGTACCATATACAATAGTAAAATACATCTACCATCATAGATGGCTCTAAACAGTAGCTTCTTAGTTTTTACCGGTTGTTTGGCGCAGATAGCCTTGCTGCTTTGCGCCATAAAACACCAATCAACCAACTAAACAGTATCAGAAATATTGCCAAATCGACCTGCCATCTATTGGTCAGTAAATATACTACAATTAGCATGATAAAAAAAACAAAAATATTCAAAATCCAATGAAATAAGGATGATTTATCACAGCTTGATTCGTTCATTTTATTGATTAATAGCACATATCTATTTGTTTCATTCACTTCTGTGTAAAAGTTACTTGAATTTCAATCTTTCGTACCTATAAGAGGTTCTCAAGCAACTTCTCACATCAACATCATGCCAATTTTCAATACAAATTTTCACATGGGCGCTTGAGAAACAAGAATTGCAAAGTCCTACTGTTCTTTCGACGTCCAGGTACATAGAGGGTTAA